ATGGTTTTGCCGTTCCCAGAATGTTATACAATTGGAATCACAGTGTGTAGCCTCTTCTGATTGACTTTTTTCACTCAGTGGTAGGCACTTAAGTTTCTTCCATGTCTTTTCATGGCCTGATAGCTCATTTCTTTCAAGCACTGGATACTATTCCATTGTATGGATGCAGCGCAGTTTATCCATTTACCTACGAAAAACATCTTGGTTGTTTCCAAGTTTTGTCAATTATTAGTAAAGCCACAATAAATATCTGTGTGTAGGTTTTTATGTGGACATAAATTTTCAGCTTATGGCTGGGCGCGGTGGCTCACGCCTGTAATCCCAGCACTTTGGGAGGCCGAGGCAGGTGGATCACGAGGTCAAGAGATCGAGACCATCCTGGTCAACATGGTGAAACCCCGTCTCCACTAAAAATACAAAAAATTAGCTGGGCATGGTGGCACGTGCCTGTAATCCCAGCTACTCAGGAGGCTGAGGCAGGAGAATTGCCTGAACCCAGGAGGCGGAGGTTGCAGTGAGCCGAGATCGCCCCATTGCACTCCAGCCTGGGTAACAAGAGTGAAACTCCATCTCAAAAAAAAAAAAAAAAAAATTTTCAGCTTATCTGGGATTGCTGGATGAAATGATAAGCGTGCATTTAGTTTTGTAAAAACCACCAAACTGTCTTCCAGAGTGGCTGCACCATTTTGCACTCTCACCAACAATGAATGACAGTTCCTGCTGCTCCACATACTTGCCAGCACTTGGTGGTGTCAGTGTTCTGGATTTTCACCATCTTAATAGGTGTTGGATATGTTTTTATACGATTACTCTTTTTATTTTGAGACAGAGTTTTGCTCTTGTTGCAAAAGGCTGGAGTGCAACAGCACGATCTCGGCTCACCGCAACCTCCTGCCTCCTGGGTTCAAGTAATTCTCCTGCCTCAGCCCCCCTGGTAGCTGGGATTACAGGCATGCGCCACCACGCCCAGCTAATTCTGTATTTTTAGTAGAGACTGGGTTTCTCCATATTGGTCAGGCTGGTCTCAAACTCCTGACCTCAGGTGATCCACCTGCCTCTGCCTCCCAACATGCTGGGATTACAGGCGTGAGCCACCGCGCCCGCCGAGATCACTCTTTTAGCTGACTGGAGAATGGAGGGTACTCATTAGTCGGCTGCCACTGCAGTCCAAGTCGTGGCAGTGAAATGGAGCAAAGCAGATGGATTTTTAGAACAGAAAGGACCTTCGATAAGTTCATGCGAGTGGGAACTAAAGTCAGCATGTGGAGTAGATCTGACTTTTCTAAGTTGTGCACCTGAGGGCAAATAGATAATCCACTACTCAGGGAAAACTGAAACAGGAACCGTTTATGGAGGCGGGGGTCAAGTGTTCAGTAGTGGATATGTTAGGACAGAATGCATGTGAAACATCGATGTGCCATGTCACAAAACAGCAGTTGGGCCTGTGGGATGGGGCTCAAGACAAGTCCCATGCTGGGAATACACACTTGGAAGCTGCCAACTGGTTTTTACTAAAGTTGCCCTGGGACAGTGGTCCTCTGCCCTGTCTGGAGGTTTGGAAAACATTGATGCCCAGGCCCACAACTGACCCCGCAAGTCAGAATTGGGTGGGGGAGCCTAGTCACGGGCCTGTTTCTGAAGCTCCCTGTTGATTGCGATACGCAGCCAGCATAGATAACCACAGAGTTAAACTCTGAGAAACTGATACTTAAAGGTCAGAGAGAGAAGAGGCACCAGTGGGATACTGGAGTGAGAAGGGAGGTCAGAAGAATGTGGTGTCTGCAGCCAGCACAGAGCACAGGTGAGCCTGCAGAGCCGTGGCAGCTGACAGCACTCCACCTCTGGCCCTCAGCCAGCACTCAGTGCTTTGTACCTGGTTTGTGCAATCAAACACCTACTTCTTTTCAGTGTTCTCAGGCTGCTCAAGTCAAGGTATACTGGGAGACTACTGGTCAGAAAGTTATTTTGTGAGTAAGGTATCAAGATAAGGGGAGTTAGATGATCTTAAGCTGTTTTCTTGGCTAAGTATTTTCATGCACTTTCATCCTCCTAGGGATAGCTTTCCCATGAAAACTGCAATTCTGGATTATACTGAGGCAAGATGCCTCCCACTGTTAATGTTTTATGGCCGCAGCTCTTGTGTTCTCAGCCTTTATTCAGAGAGCGCTGTGCGTTAGCGGTTTACACGACTACATTAAAATCACGTCATCAGCTCCCCCCAAGTTGATTTATAGATTCTAAACAATTTTAATTAAAACCCTGGCAGGAGTTTTTTTGGTAGGAATTGAAAAGTTGATTCTCAGATTTATATGGAAATGCTAAAAATTAAGAAGAGCCAAAATAATCTTGGAGGGAAAAAGCACTATTTAAGAACATAGTCTGTTGGATATCAAGACTAATTAGAAAGCAATAGGAATTACTAGGAATAAATTAAGCAATACCATTTGATTTTGACTCAAGGGTCAGTAAATAGGCCAATGGACCAACATAGAAAATCCACAAACATCAAGTCCAACAGAGCTTAAAAGTAAAAAAAAAAAAATGAAGAAAATTGGGCCGGGCGTCATGGCTCGCACCTGTAATTCCAGCACTTTGGGAGGCCAAGGCGGGAGGACTGCTTGAGTCCAGGAGTGCAAAACCAGCCTGGGCAACATGGCAAAACCTCATTTCTACAAAAAACACAAAAATTAGCTGGGCATGGTGGCACGTACCTGTTGTCCCAGCTACTCAGGAGGCTGAGGCAAGAGGATAGCTTGAGCCCCAGAGGTGGAGGTTGCAGTGAGCCAAAGTGGCACCACTGCACTCCAGCATGGGGTGACACAGTGAGACCCTGCCTCAAAAAGAGAGAAAAATAGCGAGAGTGCCTGACAGAGTGTCACTGCCAAGCACTGAGTAAGAAGGGCTTGTTCCATGAATGATATGGGCCAGTGCGTCTTGACCTGTTTCATGCAACATACAAACAGAAATGCCAAGTGAGTCGTGTATCTCAATATAAAAAGCAAAATAGTAAAGATTGGAGAAGATATAATAAAAGGATATCTTTAAGGCCTTGAGGTAGGTAGACAGCAAATACATCAACCATAAAGGGAAAACTTGATAAACTGCACAACAATAAAATTTAAAAATCTCTAATTATGAAAAGACACCATTAAATAAGTGAAAAAGCCAGATGCTATGGCTCACGCTTGTAATACCAACACTTTGGGAGGCTGAGGCAGGAGGATCACTTGAGGCCAGAAGTTTAAGACCAGCCTAGGCAACATGGTGAGACCTCATCTCTGCCAAAATGTTAAAAACTTTGCCAGGCGTGGTTGTGTGCACCTGTAGTCCAGCTACGCGGGAGGCTGAGGTAGGAAGAGCACTTGAACCTAGGAGTTTGAGGTTGTAGCGAGTTATGATTGCACCACTACACTCCAGCCTGGGCAACGGATTAAGACCTATGTAAAATAATTAAAAGTTAAAAAAATGAGTAAAAAACTAACCACAGAAGAAGAGAAGACATTTCCAATAAATATAACTGGCCAAAAAACTGTCTAGAATAGCAAATTCCTTCAACCCAAGGAGAGAAATACACACAAACCAATTTTTTAAATGAGCAAAAGACACAAACAGGGACTTAATGAAAGAAGATACACAGTTAGTCGATAAATATATGAATAGTGTCCAACAGCGTTAGTCACTGGGGAAATACAAAGTAAAACTGCAGTGAGAGCTCTCCTCTCATTTACAAAACATGTAAAATTAACACGAGTGATGGCATGCATTGGCAACAATGTGGATGAGCTTGAGCCTTCATGCTTTGCTGAAGTGGGTATAAACAGGTACGTGGGCCGGGCATGGTGGCTCAAACCTGTGGTCCCAGCACTTTGGGAGGCCGAGGCGGGTGGATCACGAGGTCAAGACATCGAGACCATCCTGATCACCATGGTGAAACCCCGTCTCTACTAAAAATACAAAAAAAAATTAGCTGGGCATGGTGGCGCGTGCCTGTAATCCCAGCTACTCGGGAGGCTGAGGCAGGAGAATTGCCTGAACCCAGGAGGCGGAGGTTGCGGTGAGCCGAGATCGCGCCATTGCACTCCAGCCTGGGTAACAAGAGCGAAACTCCGTCTCAAAAAAAAAACAAACAGGTCCGTTCACTTTGGAGAACTAGCAGTACCTCTGCTAAAGTTGATGCAGCAGTTTCACACTTTAATGTACGTATTCCACAGAACTGTGGACACACATTAACTAAAATCTCTGTAGCAGCATTATTCATAATGGCCCTAAGGTGGAAAAAACACATATTCATCAAAGGTGGAATGGACAATGTTCTACATTCATACACTTGAATACTACACAGCAGTGCAGATAAATGAAACACTGCTTTATATATTGATGAGTCCTAAAAAAGTAATACTGGACAAAGGACAGGAAACAGGTAGCCTGTGGTAGTAGAAGTCAAGGTAGTGGTTAGCTCTGGGGAAGGAGCCAGTACCTACTGGGGAAATTGGAACGTTTCATCGCTTGCTGTGGCTGCTGGTTAACAAGTGTGCTCACTTGTGATAATTAACAAACTTTTCTTAGTGTCTTGTACTTTCTTTTTTGTTTTGTTTTGTACTTTCTTGTAGGTATGTTATATTTTGATTTTTAAAGTGAATTTTTAAACTCATAATCCATTACTACTTCGTGAAATTATGCAGTTACTGAGTTACACATCTGTAGGCACTGACACAGGATTTTACCTACCCTAGATTTAGATTTCATCATTTAAGTCTCAAAAGGAATCTTACTTCCAAGCTTGTCTGAGGTGACTTTAGTGCCCATGTAGACGACAGAATGGTTTTATAAGGGGTTAGGATTAAGACACTTGATAAACTTGAGTTTATTATGCATCTTTAGTTTTTAAAATATGCTCAATTAGACCATTTATTATTACAAGGACTTTCTCCAGATTAAAATAAGTGATTAAGATGTTAAAATGAAAGAATTACATTGGTGTTGTTTATTTTCATTTTTAGTTAAATGCTCTGCAAGACGTTCATCCATTACCCAAGATAATTTTGGAATACAGGCAGGTGAGTTAACTTTTTTGTAAGTGAAGGGTGGTGAAGGGGAACCATATGGCCCTGTGTCTTTCAATGGAAATCCATAATGGCAGAAGCAGCCCTCCCAGTGTTCTCAGGGGAAGGGTTTTGTCAGGTTAACCTTGTACTCGCACCGTTTACTTCTGCCCCAATGTGATTTTACTTGTGCTGATAGCAGCACAAGTCTGCTATCAGCCCCACTTGTGAACCTCAGGAGTCATAAATGGAAGAAGACAATGAAGAATCAGAAGGAAGCAGGTGCACGCCACAGCTGTGTGACAGTGGTGTGCATGAGACGCCCAGCAGCACCTAGTCCAGAATTCTCCCACAACCCCCTTCCTGGCTTCTAGGTCTGGCAAGGCTATACCATAGCAGTGTTTTGCTGTCTTGCATTTACATTTACCAGGGATTTCATGAGCAGCCCCCTTCCCTCCCCTAGCTGTTCCCCATTTCTCTGTTCATACACCTGCCATTTCCTTCGGAAGTTCTCTGTTGGTTGTGAACCAAGTTTTTAGCTTTTGCCACTGCCCACAGCATAGATCCTAGTATTCACTGAGCCTATGGCCAGCTGTATCCTGAGGGCCTGGCAGCTGTGAGGAAGCACATTGGCCCCAGCCTGGCCCTTTCTCCCTGCAGTGATGTGAAGGGGCCACCACAGGAGACACTGAGACAGGGGATTTATCTGTTTATCTTTGCAAATTTCCTGTAAATCTAGAATGACTCTAGAATTAACAGATTTTTTTCTGATAAAGACACACCCAAATCAGATGTATTTTTAGAGTGGAATGGCTTCTTTCTCTGCGGGTCAGTGTCATTCAACCCTAAGGCCACTCCAGGTCCTCCCGGAGTCATCTAAGGTGACAGTAGCAGCAGGTGACTGGTACTCTCAAACACCGTTCACACCATTCCTGTCTAAAGACTGAAACAGGCCACATGTAGTGGCTCATGCCTGTAATCCCAGGACTTTGGAAGGCTGAGGTGGGCAGATCGCCCGAAGTCACGGGTTTGAGACCAGCCTGGCCAACATGGCAAAACCCCATCTCTACTAAAAATATAAACATTAGCCGGGTGTGGTGGCTCATGCTTGTAATCCCAGCTACTTGGGAGTCTGAGGCAGGAGAATTGCTTGAACCCAGGAGGTGGAGGTTGCAGTGAACTGAGATTGCGCCACTGTACTCCAGCCTGGGTGACAGAGCGAGACTCCTTATGAGAAAAAAAAAAAGACTTAAATGATTATTCTTGTCTTTCTTTTCGTTCTTTTTTTCCCCTTTTTTCTGCATGCACTTAGGGCATATATTATTCTTGTCTTTGTACCTTAGGTTCACAAGATCAAGTCAACCTTTGTAGATGGATTACTAGCTTGCATGAAAAAGGTAACAAGCTTTATAGCAAGATAATGTGATTAGGACTGTGGTTTATGTATGAGTTCAGATACATGCAGAAGCTTTGTAATCTTTTTCTTTTTTTTTTTTTTTTGAGACCGAGTCTCACTGTCGTCCAGGCTGGAGTGCAGTGGCTCGATCTCAGCTCCCTGCAACCTCCGCCTCCCAGGTTCAAGCGATTCTCCTGCCTCAGCCTCCTGAGTAGCTGGGATTACAGGCACACACCACCACACCCAGCTAATTTTTGTGTTTAGGAAAGATGGGGTTTCACCATGTTGGCCAGGATGGTCTCGATCTCTTGACCTCGTGATCCGCCCACCTCAGCCTCCCAAAGTGCTGAGATTATAGGCGTGAGCCACTGCTCCCTGCCAGAAGCTTTATAATTTTAGCAAATGATGAAATAATATAATATTCTTGAAACTGTGAACCATGTTGTTGATATTATTTAGGTCTCCTTGCAGCATGGGTTGACGTTATGCCTTGAACCCTCTGTTCATGTGGAAGCTCTAGCTGGCCTGCTTTCACATCCGCTACTGCATCTCTGTTCTGGACTTGTGTGAGGAAGATGATACTGTTTTAGTTCAGACTTGAGGAGACTGCAGTCAAGGGGTGTTCTCTGACTCGTTCAAGTTCACACAGCCAGGGACAGAACGTGTGATGCACAGTCCCACCTCGAGCCCACACCACGCTCCCCACAGCCCAACAGCCCTTCCTCTCCCCATGCACAGGATTGTCAGTGGTGTCAAGTCCTGCATGGGATGGGGGAGCTTCCTTCTTCACCCTCCCTGATCACACATCAGGAGGTTTGTGACCCCGAGGACATGTCCGGGTTGGAAGTTTAGGGCCAGCAGCTTGTCGACTTCTGGAGGAGCAGCGAGTGTCGTGTGTTGTGGGTGGAGGCCCTGCCTCATTCTTGACCTCATATAGCATTGCCAGAGTTTACACTGATTTTTCTTAACTAATAAAGGGCTCCATTTCCTCTACATGGAATCAGACTGGAACTGTGACTGGAAGACTTTCAGCCAAGCATCCTGTAAGTTGTTTAAACAACTGTCTTTGTTAAACGCCATTTTCCATACCTTGCTTTTGAGGTTTTGCCTCCATATGTGTTTGCCTGTGCACTTTCTGTTGCCAAGAGGGGACTTCATACTGATACGTTGTGTTTTATTCGGTTTATTCTGAGAACAGAGCAGGAAAACAAGATAGTGGGGTCCTCTTCTCATGACGTGCTGAGTTAGCATGGGGGGCTTCACACCCAGAAACCCATGCACTCCAGTGTGAGGGCAAAAAGGGCACCCCTCCCCTATCTTCCTCTTCAGATTTGTGCCAGGCAAGTGGTTTCTGATCTCCAGAAATGTGTTAAAGTGTCTGGTGCTATGATGACCAGCTCCAGTTTTTGGTGTTTGTTGAAGCTCTATCTCTGATGAACAAAAAAAGCCATAAATGCCTTCGGACTTCTGGTGCAGCTTTAATAACGCTTAAAGCAACTAACTTTTTAAATGGGTCTGTATTTTGAACTAAAAAAGGCTCATTTTCTCATTACAGAAAAGTTTCTTAGATACAGAAAAGAAATACAAACTGATAAAAAGTCACTCGTTATCCGCCATACAGAATTGTGCTGTCTACCTTTCCACACTTTTTGCTAAGCACATAGATCTATAAAATACAATTTTTTGTACAAAAATAAAGCCATGCTATTTTTATTTTAACATCTCTTGATATCATTATACATTAATAAATATTGATTTGAATCTATATTTAGATTTAAATATATGAATTAAATACATGAATGATTTAAGTACACACTAATATATATAAATATATATTCATGGTAAATAAATACAGGTATGTGGAGGCTCACAGAAATAAGCAAATGTTAGTCATCTTTCCCTTCCCTCCATAACCTGTGTCTATCCATGGGCTCCTTTCATTAATGGTCAGGCCTTCATCCAGGCATTTGCATAGATGGTATACCGAGTGCGTGCAGGCAGAGGGACTGTGTGGGGAAGAGGAAGAGAGGCTGGGATGGGGTGAGTTTGCCCTGATCGTGTGGCCTCTTGGGTGCAAGGACGTCCACTCTTGGTCAGTCAGCTCTTGGGTGCAAGGACGTCCACGCTTGGTCAGTCAGCTCTTGGGTTGCAGCCGTGTCTGCCTTACACTTTCGGGAGCTCTTCTGGGGTCTTTATCTAGTGTAGAGTAGCAGTAGCAGCAATACTAATGCAAATACCAACACCAACATCGATATTGGTATGAATACCAGTGCCATCTCCTCTGAATGCAGGCGCTGCTGCCACGCTGCCCTTCAGCTGATTTCTCAACCAACCACAACTGCTGTCGTTTTCTCTTAGTTGATACTTCTTATCTAGGAGTTATTTAGGAATTCTGCTGAGAAACTTTTGGTAGAAGTCCTTGCTTTTGCTTTGACGGAGTTATAAGTTTCTTTTTCCATTACATCTTCAGTTAATCTCTTGCTGTCTTTTATTCTCTTCCAGAGGTTTCTTAAAGTCTGGTTTGCGAGTAGCACTCCTCCCAGGTTCTCAGTGATGCTCTAACTTTACCTGTTCATTTTTCTGTTATTTCAGTTGAATGTTTGGAGAGATGGGATATAAACAAAGCATGTGCGTTCAGCCATGACCTGGAAGTCTGTGTCATCATTTTAACAGCTGCATTGTATTGCATGTAATGGCTACCCATATTGATGGTCATTTAGATTGCTTGCAATTTTAATTACTTTATAGAGATACCATAAACACACTTGTACTTTACCTTAGCAGTACCATACCAACTTCAATAGCAATACCGATACCATAAACATTTTTGGTCCTTTTTTTCTGTTGATTTCTGTGGCATAAATTCCTAGAGAGAGAATTTCTAAGTCACAGTGTATATGTATTTTTAAGGCTTTACATTGCCAAATTAGCCTCCCCACCAAAAATAGCATTCCCACCACATAGTGTGTGAAATGCTTGGTCTCCTAATCCTTGCCAACACAAGGAGTGTTCATTTTGGTTACTTTCCTGACTCATTTTTTCAATTTCCATTTCTTTAAATATTTGGTGAGGTTGACTATATAAAGCAATTATTCTTCTTTGAATTGCCTGTTCCTGTCATTTGCCCATTTCTTTGGAGGATGTTTATTTTTTCCTATTGTTGTGGAAAAGCTCTTTATATAATAAAGATTAACCCGTCATAAAATGTTGAATTATTTTTCTCCAGTTTTCTTTTGCCTTTTACTTTTTAAGATATATATATTCTAGTTTGCCATACTTAAAATGGCTTTTTAAAATTATACAAATAACATGATATTTCTAAAGAATTCAAACAATATATAAAAATGCAAATAACAAATTAAAAAGTCACTCAAAACTCCATATCCTCACTGTAGCCGTCATTAACATTTTTGTGACCATCCTCTGATGTAGCTCTTTATTCACACACACATTTACATAAATGGAATCACATTATATATGCTGTTTTTATTGTAGACACTCCTCTCACACCCACATACGTCAGCCCTCCACCCTCAATCCCAGTGCTCTTGGTAGCCCATGACAGCAGCCTAGAGCTTGTATATCCATATTTTCCTTCTGACTTATTCTATAATTTCATACAGGCCCATATGTATCTGTACATATACACACAGAGACATGTACTAACTTTGTCATTATTTAGTTTACACATTTAGAATTTTCCTTTCCTGCCTCTTGCTTTTTGCTCTCAGCAACAGCTTATGGGACTCCCTGCAGCTCACCTGAGAGAGCCCTGTCCCACTCTAGCTGTGTGTGTTCCACACGTGGGTGTGTTGTGCTGTTGCCCTCTAAGAGTAAAGCTTCAATGAACACCATGTATGTATGTCCTGTTGTATTGGTACTTGTATTTTTATTGGACAGATTTTCAGATATGGAATTAATAATTACTGAACTGGGTACAGAGGATATTACATTTTTACTTTTAATAGCTTTTATTAGATTGCCTTCCAAATGCTCTCAGCTCCTGTCTCTACCCTGAGAAATGTGTGGCAGAGCTTTTCCAATCTCTATGTTGACTTTCCCCTGTACCAACATCCCTTATTGTTTCTGTCTTAGTGTCATCTTAGACAGGCTGCCCTTAGCTCCAAAATTTTTTAAATACTCACCTCTGTTTTCTCGTAGAACATTTGTCCTTTACTTTCTTACACATAAAACTTGAATCCAGTATTATTTAATAAAATACTATGTAAGGTACATGATAATTCCATAAAATGTCTACAATTTCAATTACTTTCTCTCTCTCTCTTTTTTTTTTTTTTTGCTTAAAGTGCACAAAATACAGTTGACTAATATTTTTAAAAATCAGATTATTAGCCTGGGCAGCATAGCAAGATCCTATCTCTATGTAAATTTTAAAATGCTTTAAATTAGCTGAGCATGGTAGCTACTTGGGAGGCTGAGGCAGGAGGATCACTTGAGCCCAGGAGTTCCAGGCTGCAGCAAGTTGTAATCACACCACAGCACTTCACCCTGGGTGACAGAGCAAAACCTTGTCTCTTAAAAAAAAAATCGGGCCAGACACAATGGTTCATGCCTATAATCCCAGCACTTTGGGAGGCTGAGGCAGGTGGATCTCTTGAGCTCAGGAGTTCAAAACCAGCCTGGGCAACATGGTGAAACCCCATCTCTACCAAAAATACAGAGAATTAGCTGGGCATGATAGTGCACACCTATGGTTCCAGCTACTCAAGAAGCTGAAGTGGGAGGATTGCTTGAGTCTAAGAGAAGATCACACCACTGCACTCCAGCCTGGTGACAGAGTGAGACACCATCTCAAAAAAAAAATAATAAGTTATAGCTTGTTTTCAGTATTTTCAGAAAGCTAATTTTCTCATGCACACCCCCATCCCCAAGAGAAAGTTATTGCTTCTGGTTCTTTATATGGAGATTTTAAAAAGAATAAGAAAAGAGTCATTGCTACCAGTTGTGTGAAAGTATCCTTGTGTCTCTGTAATATCTCCCTCCCTACCTGTCTACCTTTACCCACGTCCTTGGCAACCACTGGCTTTCTGTTTGCCACTATGGATTAGTTCACACTTTCTGGAAACCTCTGTGAATGGAGCCACACAGCATGGACTCCTTTCAGAGCTCCTTTCACACCGTTGTTATTGTGAGCCTCAGCCATGTTGGTCTGTCTGTCAGTAGCTCATTTCTTTTTATTGCTTGGTAGTATTCCATTGAATCTGTGTACTCCACATTGTTTATAAATCCATCTGTTGGTCAGTATTTGGGTTGTTTCCAGTTTGGGGATATGACTCAGTTTGGGATATTACTACATACATTCACTGCATATGACGAGTATCACATCAGTGGGTCCCCATTCGGGCGCCAGCTGTGACAAGTGTCACATTGCGGTCACCACCTGAGATGTTGATCACCACCTGCAAAGGTCTGTCCTGCAGACCCTGACTCAACGACAGGTGAATAAAATGCACTCACAAACACCAGAATACAGTGAATCTGAGTGGGCTAGGGATGGTCGTCAGCTGCTTTCAGAGGGTGATTGTGAGCCAACCAGCCACCGCTTGCTGCTCCTCCTCACATTTATTCAGTATGGATTTAATAACAGAAGTTCTAAGTCAGCACACTTGCCGATAATTAACATGGTTAAAAGAGTGGTTTTACAAATGACAAAGGGTCTTGGTTCCAGGGCCTGGAATAAACACCATTAACAGGTAATTCCCCTTCGACCTCCCCCCAAGAGGACCATCAGTGCAGAGTTTACATGAGTAAACAGACTTAACCGGGGAAGTTTTTATTATCCTAATCTTTTACCCTATGACAAAGTTTAGCATAATGAACTGGCTGCCTTCAGCCCATTCCATTAAAACCTTTCAGCCTTCCAAAAGGTTTGAGACTATAATCTTCTAACTTTCCCTAATATTTCCCTAATATTCTGCCAGCCAACCCAAGCAAATCCCAACAACTGCACATCCTTATATGGATACACACTTTTTTTCCCTTGGGTAAATACCAAAAAGTCAAGAAGCTAGGTCATATAGTA